TAACACTCTAGCGGCACAATTTTGCCTTAATCATCATCAAACTTTGTCAGCATGCTTATCTAGTTGATAGCTGGGATGAGTTCGAACATGGGTTATCTCGGATGAAAAAATAGATCAAATGAGCTAAAAATAGAAAAACATTGTAAACATTCTAGCGGTCACATTTTTGCCTCAATCATCATCAAACTTTGTTAGGATGCTTGTCTAGGTGAAAGCTCGGATGATTTCGAACATGGGTCATTTCAGATGAAAAACTAGGGCAACGGAGCTGAAAATAGAAAAACCTTGTTAACACTCTAGCGGTCACAATTTTGCCTCAATCCTCATCAAACTTTGTCAGGATGCTTATCTAGTTGTTAGCTCGGAAGAGTTCGAACATGGGTTATTTTGGATTAAAAACTAGGTCACCGGCGTTAAAAATAGAAAAACCTTGTTAACACCAAAGCGGTCACATTTTTATCTCAATCATCATCAAACTTTGTCAGGATGCTTGTCTAGGTGATGGCTCAAATAAGTTGGAACATGGGTCATCTCGGATGAAAAACTTGGTCACCGGAGCTCAAATTTGAAAAACCTTGTTAACACTCTAGCGGTCACATTTTTGCCTCATTCATCATCAAACGTGGTCAGAATGCTTGTCTATGTGATAGCTCGGATGAGTTCGAACATTGGTTATCTCGGATGAAAAACTAGGTCACCGGGGCTAAAAAAGAAAAAAACTTGTTAACACCCTAGCGGTCACATTTTGCCTCAATCATCATCAAAATTTGTCATGATGCTTATCTAGTTGATAGCTCAGAAGAGTTCGAACATGGGTTATCTCGGATTAAAAACTAGGTCAACGGCGCTAAAAATAGAAAAACCTTTTTGACACCAAAGCGGTCACATTTTTATCTCAATCATCATCAAACTTTGTCAGGATGCTTGTCTAGGTGATGGCTCAAATAAGTTGGAACATGGGTCATCTCGGATGAAAAACTAGTTCACCGGAGCTGTAAAAAAGAAAAACCTAGTTAACACTGTAGCGGTCACATGTTTGCCTCAATCATAACAAAACTTAGTCAGCGTGCTTGTCTAGGTGACAGCTCAGATGAGTTCGAAAATGGGTCATCTCGGATGAAAAACTAGGTCACCGGAGCTAAAAAAAAGAAAAACCTTGTTAACACTCTAGTGGTCACATTTTTGCCTCAATCATAATCAAACTTGGTCAGTATGCTTGTCTAGGTGACAGCTCAGATGAGTTGAAAATAGGTAATATCGGATGAAAAAGTAGGTCACCGGAGCTAAAAATAGAAAAACCTTGTTAACACTCTAACGGTCACATTTTTGCCTCAATCATCATCAAACATGGTCAGGATGCTTGTCTATGTGATAGCTCGAATGTGTTCGAACATGTATTATCTCGGATTAAAAACTAAGTCACATGAGCTTAAGATAGAAAAAGCTTGTTAAAACTCTAGCGGTCGCATTTTTGACTCAGTTGTCATCAAACTTGGTCAGGATGCTTGCCTAGGTAATTGCTCGGGTTAGTTCGAATATGGATCATCTTGAATGAAAAACAAGGTCACAGGAGCTAAAAATGGAAAAATCTTGTTAACACTCTAGTGGCTACTATTTTATCCAAATATCCTGTAAATTGGTCTGGAAGTTTGTTTTGATAATTTCTAGGCCATGTTCGAATATGGGTCACCTGGGGTCATAAACTAGGTCACACTGCCCAAATATGGAAAAACCTTGTAAACATTCTAGTTGTCTTTTTTTACTCAGTTATCATCAAACTTGGTGTGTATGCTTGTCTAGGTCATTGCTCGGATTAGTTCGAATACTGGTCATCTCGGATGAGCTAAGAATAGAAAAATCTTATAAACACTATAGTGGCTACTGTTTTGATCAAAATGTCCTGTAAATTGGTCTGAACGTTTGTTTTGATAATTTCTTGTTCAAGTTCGAACATGGGTCATCTCAGATGAAAAACTAGATCACACCGACCAAATATGGAAAAACCTTGTTAACACTCAAGTGGTCACATTTTTGACTCAATTATCATCAAACTTGGTCAGGATGCTTGTCTAGGTAATTGCTCGGATGAGTTTGAACATGGCTTATCTTGCATGAAAAACTAGGTCACCGGAGCTAAAAAAGAAAAATCATGTTACCACTCTAGTGGCTACTGTTTTGAACCAAGTATCATGGAAATTGGTCTTAAAGTTTGTTTGATGATTTCTAGGTCTAGTTCGAATATGTGTCACCTTGGTAAAAAACTAGGTCACACGGCTCAAATATGGATAATCCTTGTTAACGCTCTAGTGGTCACATTTTTGACTCACCTGTCATGAAACTTGGCCAGAATGCTTGTCTACGTAATAGTTCGGATGAGTTTGATGGGTCGGGTGAGCGATCAAGAGCCATCATGGCCCTCTTGTTTTTTTTTACTATAAGATACCGTGCCAAATATATAAACTAAAATAAAAGAAAATATTTTCCTGAAATACTTTTCGATAATGTACAGAATATTGGATCTGAAATAAAAGAAAATATTTCCCTGAAATATATTTGGATAATGTACAGAATATTTTATCTAAAATAAAAGAAAAGGTAGCTTACTAACGAATTGTAAAATGATTTTAAAACTCATTATCAAACAAAATAAATACCCTTTATGCAGTTTTGTTGCGTCACGTTGTACCGATAAAAATGGTTGCAAAAACATTTATGTCTAATGCATGTGCCGTTAGTTTCTACACAGTCAGTATCTTCCGTGCAATCATTTCCTATCGTCGGCACTATAAAAGAAAAAATATCATTTAATAACAATTGTTTGAAAACCAGTTTTATCGTTGTAATAGATGCCCCATTCGTGTTTAAATATTAAAATAGTTTTGATAGCGTGTTTTCAGGGGCGAATCACGTTGAGGGCAGGATTTGACCCTAACTGCCTGTGCAAATATGGGAAAAATTCTTTAAAAAAGGGCCAAATATGATTTCATGCGTATATTACTTGGAGAAAGTAGCACGGAATGAAAAATAAAGTCTCAAACATGATAATAAAAATGGAATTTTTAACCAGCATGTTTTGTTAAATTAATTGTTAAAACAATATACTAGACACAATTCTTGAACTTGGAAAATTAAGAGAACATTGTACTACCTTGGCAAATTTGATGGCTACATGTCTCTCTTAATAATAATCAGTTTTATTTATCAATCTGACTAAAGTTCTACCTATTTATCTACCTATTTGTGTTATGTAGATGTGATTACGACCGTATATGTTACGCCTTCTTAATAATTCGGATTTCCCGAAAAAGCTATTTTTAGCCATGCAATCAAACCGGTTTTTACATATGCATTAGAAAAGGTATCAAAATACCGTTATCCATGGAAGTTAAACAAATTGTTGAATTTTGTTTAAAAAAAAGAGTTTAAAATAGAGTCAATTTTTAATTTGCGAGATCGTTTTGCAAGTTTACCTGTCGGCTATATGGACAACGGCAAGTTTGTTTTCGAAATCGTGACAATTTCCTTCTCAGTATAAGTTTTCCCATGGTTAAAATTAGAAACCACATCGCTTTCAAAATTATGAAATCTCGCCGATGATTGGTTATGTGAAACACAGCCAGAAATAACTTCGTAATTGGTCACTTTTAGATCTAAAAGCGGAGCGTTATTTAAAGTTGTTTTTAATCAGATTGTTTTATTAATAATCATGTTTTGTATACAAGTAAAGATGATTATGCCACTGTGTGCAAACTGAAAATCATGCCCATTAATTTAAATGCATTGCAATACCTAGTACATGAAACGATTTGAGAGAAGGTATAACCCAAGGAAGAGAACAGGATAAGGAATGGTAATTTCAGATGAAGAAATAACTTAGATCAGTCCGGAGGTGAATGGTTCAATATCAGATGGATTTTATTCATTAAATATCGAGTTAAACTTCGGTATTTGTTCCGATTGGGAAAAATTCCAGATAAGGAAAGTGTGGATAAATAAAAACCGTATTGGTATAAATAAATTCGCTGAAATTCCTTGTTAATTTTCCAGTACAAATTACTTTATCAGATCTATATGATGAAAATCTCTCTATCATTGCCTTAACTGCACAATAAACTTTTAATCATGTGTTTGCCATGCAAATACAAATGAGCATTTTTCCCAGAAACTTTCGTTATATGGAAAAGCAATACATTAAATATTGCTCTTTAACTAGGAATATAGGAATATATCATATCGTATGACCTTGACACGTTTGGTTGTTGCATGTCTCTGTTTCAAAATCTAGATCATCTAGTGAGCATTGTACGTCATCGCCGTTTTGTGTGTGAACTGTGCATGTTCTGTTCCTTGTCTTTTGACCGCCTTCACAAGAAACACTGCAAGAACTCCAGTCAGTCCAGGTTGCCCAGGTGTTAGTAACTGCAACTTTCAAAATTATAACTTTAATTTATATAAATATTTTGTATCTAAATAAGTATGATTTTCCAACCGTGTGTAGACTAACGGTTTTACCTTCCATTCATCTATCAATTACAAGGTACTGAAATCACGGAAACTCACGTTATCGACCGTTCCCATTCTCACCTTATTAAAACAACACCATGCAAATACAAATGAGTATTTTCGCCAAATGTTTTCGTTAATGTACATTAACGAAAACGTTTTGCGAAAATACTCAGTTGTATATAATAATTAACGTCATATAAACAATAAAACAACCCTGGATCGAAACGGAATTTCTGTAAATTTCGCTTAGAACTTACCTGAAACGTTAAGTTTATAAAAAGAGTGGAGCAGTCTTTTTATATTATAGGCAGATTTTGAATTTTATCCTAAACATTTTCCAAAATAAACTGTTGGTCAAACACCATTTTGACAATCAATCTTTTGAAATAAAAAGTCAATTCAGCCCAACTTGACTATGAAAATATGAGCATAATGTCACTTTGATATATAACCAATAAATTTTAACTGAAAGAATGTAGAGTTTATTATATTACCATGACAAGTTTGGTTGTTGCATGTCTCGCTTTCAAAGTCGGGATCATCCTGTGAGCATTGTACGTCATTGCTGTTAAGTGTGGGAACTGTGCAAGATCTGTTCCTAGTTCTGATACCGCCACCACAAGAAACATTGCACGAACTCCAGTCAGACCAGATCGTCCCGGTGTAAGTAACTGAAATTATCCGATTTATCAACAAAGCACTAAAGACTGAAATGGTCTTGAAAATATTGAACCGAGAATTGTTCCGTATTTTTGCACATATATGGAGTGAAAATTAAACTTCGTTACTAAGAAATAAAAAATAGTAATTAAAGTGAAGAGTTGATGTTTTATCCTCTTTATTTCTTTCATTTTCATCACCTTATAAATTTCAATTTTGTAAATAATTGAATTATTTTATGTCTCAAGCGTAAGCTTAATTTTGTTCCAAATATTTCGTCTTGAAAATTCAAGAATTATCATCAATATTTGTGTTTATGTAAATTCACAAGTGCTTAATTAATGGAACGGACACATAACATAGATCAGGCTATATGAAGCTTTAAATAACCTGTACAAAAAATGAGCTACTGGAACGTTTTAGATATATTTTTTATTCAATTTTGTTGTAGAAATTTCTTCATTCACTCAAGTACATTTAAAAAATATGAAGATTCTTCAAAATAAAAAAAACCCATAAAAACTTACACAGTTTTACTTTATATTACTAGAAATAAATAATGAACATATATTTCTTTTGATGTTTGTTTTTCAGAAGGGAAATTAATTCTTCTTATACTATGTGTGCAATTTAAATTAACTTAAAAGACATATTGTAAAACATACTACTAAATAATTTATAATATGCACATTGAAATGCTAAATAGGGTATATATTTCTTAAAAATTATCCTTAAATAATAAACAGCTTATAGATGCAATTCAAGAAAATGTATTAACGTTTTTGTAAATGATATTTTCATAAATTGCACCAAAGGTTTAGTTTTAGTCTATAAGCAAGCTAATGATCCTGTATATCTTTTAGGATCTCAAAAAGTGCTTACCTAACACACATTCAGCGTTGGCACTCCAATGACCTGTGTTAAGACACTCAGCAACAGATGTATACCTATTGTCCTTCAGTTTGTATCCGTTTTCACATATGTACCTGATCTTTGCCCCAACCTTCATAATATTGCCAAGGACCCTTCCGTTTTCGGGTATTGTCATGTTTACACATTCTTAATTTTAAGAACATGTATTTGATAAAAATACAAGTAGCCAAATCAATAATACTGCTAAAATGTGTAATTTTAAATGCCTGTGCAAAATATATTTTCAAAAAGCAACAAGAAAAACGTTCCTGTTCATTCTGATTATATGCTTGTTTAAATAATTAAGAATGTAAGAAACCATTACACTTCCTAATATTCTTCTAGGTGCTTTCCATAAAAAATGTATCAGCAGGGGAGAGCAGCATTAACTTTATTAAAGTGTACATGTAGAGTTGGGCTTTTTATTTAATGGAAGTATTTGCATTGCGTATAAATTGTATTAAAAGCTCCGATAAAAAGAAATAACAACGTTTGCAATCCAGGCGAAACTTGACCACTTGTGAAATTCTAAAGTAAAGACTACAACATGCGTGATAACTTAAGCCCACGTGAGAAATGAGATTTTGTAAAAGGACACAATTTCACCCCAATGCAATAAATAGAATA